AGATTGGTTTTGTGAGTCAAGGATATGAATTTCGGACAGGAGGGTGTCTAATTTAGCTGTATGGATTTTTTTAAAATTGGAATTCAGCTTGATGAGGATACCCCTTATATAAGTAGTATATAATATAGTATATAATAGTAAAGGGTCCAGTTAAGTGAGGATCATTAAAATGAAAAACATAATTTTAATTCTAAGTAAGTAAGTTTCACTGAATCATTGCATCTCCATAAACGCAATGTCACAAAGGTGTTACCTTCCGTTATCTGTAGTATGACAGGCTAAGTTATGTATTTTTAGAGGAATCTGATATTCTTTGCAACAATAGTTTATCTACTAAAAAAAAAATCTATGTGGGAATAAGAGTTATGTCTCGAGGAGTAATAAGAGAAGGTTTTCTCATTTGCGTGTTGGCACCTTCAAACATCTTAAATTAAGACCCATGGTAGGATTTCAAAAAGATATGGCTAGCCGCTTGAGTGGGTTGAAAACATTGGATCAAATTGAGGTAAGTATGACTGTGGTAAGTAGCTGGACATGACAAAGTGAGTTTTAAAACATCCAAGCAGAGGAGTATAAGAGTCTATAAGTGATTCCGTTGGGAGTTCACTGTGGACACACCTTCTAGGCCAACATATAGTGGTGAGAGGCAAAATTTGAGTGTAAAACGTAGCCTGAAACATCCTAAACTGTAATGAGCCAAAACTTTTTCATTGACAATTAACAGAAACAAATATTTAAGAAAAAGGTCCAATGTGGACTAGGCAGTGTATACTGCCAATACTGTGGGGGTCTATGGTACAGTGGCAGGTACCTCTGACACTTGGGGAACCCAACTGTGATAGAGTAGAAACATGTAAAGAACTTTAGGATTTCTTTGAGGAGAGTTTGCTTTGAGGCATAATTTGCCAATCTTGTTGAGCATGAGCTGGAGGTTGCCACTGTGCATTGATATTGTTGTGGAGAGGGTAGTATATTCCAGATTTTCAAGAGGCAAATACCATCATCTAGTGATGAGATAAGATGGTCAGAGCCTTTGTAAATGATGTTGAGCTTAGCCGGGTATTTCCAACGATAATCAATCTTGTTGTTCCTCAGAGCTTTAGTGATAGTTGATAGATTTCTGCTTTGTTGCAGGGTATACTGGGAGAGGTCTGGGAGTACTTGGAGATTAGCCTCCTGTTCAGCTAAATAATCAGGACAACAAAAGGCTTCTAGGAGTTTTTCCTTCCCAAGGAAAAAGTGTACTCTTAGCAGTACATAACGAGGTACATCAGATGGTAGGAAAGCTGGTTTGGGAACTCTATGTACTCTGTCAATGGTGAGATCAGCAGATTTAAGTGATGGGATCACCGCCGTGAAGAGGTACCAGACATAGTGAGGAAGTTGATGTGTCTGGATAGACTCTTGGTCTCTTTTTAAAAAAATTTAAATTGTTCCAACCTGATCGGTCCTTAAGGTTGGCCAACCTGAATTGTAGGCTGGAAATTACCTCTTGTTGAGAGGTATGAGAGTCCACCAATGTATTCAAGGAAGATTTTTTATTCATTTATTTTGGTCTCCAGATGATGTACTCTATCTCCTAGTTCTTGTACTTCTGCCCTGCATTGTTGTATGCATGTAATCATGTCAGGTTGTAAAGCTGTTCTCAGAGACATAAGCATTTAAGGTCACATCTGAAATGGGCTGTCCTTTGGTTGAAAATTGAGTAATAGGGTCAGAGTGGGCTGCAGAGTGAGATTGATTCAAAGGGGGTTTGCTTACCTCCATGTTTGGTGAAATGTTCTCATTGATGCTAGAGTCCCTGCGTAGCCTCGACTTTACTGGGCTTCTAGTAGATGTGGTAGATGAATTGGAGTCTGAGGAGATAGACTCTGTGTGTTCTGCAGTGGTGCTCCCACTCCCCCCAACTGTGTCTGTGCTGAGGCAGGCTCTAGATGTTCGGCAGCTGTGTTGGTCTTCTGTCACCATTTCGTTGAAGCCAGTGAAGTCATAGTCATAAAGAATTTTCTGGATAGGTGGCAGGTCTTGGCGGCATCTGCTCATACCAGTCAGTGCACTGGGTTCCGGAGAAGTTGGGGAGTCAGTTGGTAAGGTGAGTAGGTGGTCCTGGGCTGCTGTAATGCTGGTGGTTCCCCAGAGCAGAGTGAACCTCTGGAATTATGTGGCCATGTTGCCAAGCGGTCGTCACAATGCCAACATTTTTGACCAAGTGGCACAAGGGATTGCAATAAGGTGAACTAAAACATTACCTGCGGATACCAGGAGTATCAAGTATGGACTTTAGCACAGCTGGTGGGTATGATGTAAAAAAATCTGTAGGCTGATGTTGGTCTGCACAAATGACAGATGATAAGTATAGTCCAGAGACATCCAGAGGCAGGTAGCAGATTAGGAGTAATCAAAAAACAGTCTAAGTTTGAGGCAACAGAGTACAGGAGCAAGGCAATGCAGAGGTACAGGAACCAGGTAACAAATCCTCAAAGTGCCACAGCACCACAGAACTGGAGTGTGTAGTCACCAGGTTCAATTAGTGGGAAGAAGACAAGGCAGATGGAGCCAGCCCACTGTCTAGCAATTAGGACAACTCTAGAGGCCAATGCCATCACCAGAGTCTGTTTCCTCACAACAGCTAATACTCTGGATGGGCAGCATAGAGTAGCTGGGTGACGAGATGAGTATGAACATGTCTCCCCCTCCTAACAAACTGGTTTGCATAGCATGCAGAAGTGAGAAAATAACAGTGGTTTTGCTGGAAAGAGAAAAACACAGGTCCTCTGTCAAAGTCCCTCAATTTCAATAACTGTTTTAACCAAGTTAACTTGACACAGAAATGGATACAGGAAATAATTTTTAAGACCTCCTGTAGATGTATCCTCCTCCTGATGCTTTAGCAAGAGGTTCAGGATCTTCTTTAATGATCTTCGCTTTCCCCTCTTGATATGCCCATATCTGTTTCTTCCTGCCAATGGCAGACTGACCATTTGGGCTCTCGGACACTGCCCAAGGGCCCGGAGTCAGCAGAGGGCACCATGAGATGCCCCTGGTACCTTTCATAGGCTTTTTGGGTGTGGTTTGAGTGTGGGTGAGGACACAGGGTCCCATTGATCCCATATTGTCCAGGGGCCCCATGAGTTGTCAGTCCACAACTGTGTCCTGCTCATGGGTTGTGTTATAATAGTGATGCACAAGAGGTTGGAGAGGCAAGACCAGAGCCAAGAATCAGGAAACTGATCACCATTACCAAACAAAGCATCTGCTAAACATTGGAAGTGGCATAAAGGCAACTTCAGGTCCCTGGTCTTGGAAAGGAGTGTCAGATTTAGTACTTTATTATGCACACAGGTTCGGAATTTCTATGTAAAACTGCATACATACAGTATATGTAAAAGATCTAAAAAGTGCTGCCACCTCATATGGATGTATCTAAAAAGATTTCCGATACCTTACTGTAAATTACCCACATGGAGCTCTCTTCACTTTGTACTCTCTTCTCACATCATTTTTTAGCAGCTTGCAGTATTTCATTTTCAATAATGCAAAAAAACAGTGAGAAACCCAAAAAGTTTAATTTGCATGACTCATCCCAGTTTGTTCAACATGTGGTTCGGTTAGTTTATAGCTGGGCTGGAGAATAAAGCAAGTGACCTGGTATTTATGTCGTAGTTACGCATGTCATAGACTGCAGAGCTAAACCCTCTCTCTTCCTAATAATTCCCTAGCTAAACTTTTCAGAGAGCCAGAGGTGAAAGAATAAGAGAACTTAGAGTTGAAATGCCACACCTCAATATCAAAGTCCAAGTTTATTCCAATGATATATTGTTTGTAAACTAATGCATTTTAGAGACTGTAGCTCTCCCCCTTCATCTGGCCTACCATAACAGATAACAAGTGGATGTGTTCTTGTGTACAAATCATTGGAACACATGATTTAAAAGTAAGATAAATTACCTACTACCAGTAGAAGTGTAACAAAGGTGTAGAAGTATTGTGTCAGAACTAACATTAGTAATAGAACAGAAGATAATAAAAAAGAAGCTCATAGATAAATGATAATTACATTCATAACAATAATAATAGCAAACATTATAACAATCATACTATTTGCAGTATTGCTGATAGTGATAGAATTACATAAACATTAGGATTATAATGTATATGGTAAAATATCTATAAGACTAAAATACCTGTTAAATAGACCTGTCAAATTCCCAAATTATTAATATAATTAACCTCCCTGGCGGTATGATTATTTCAGATTTTTGATGCTGAAAGCGGTACCATTATTTTGCATGGAAATTTGGCGTTTTATATGGTAGGCCTGTAATTTTTAGGAATAACTCACTGAAATCTGTCCAAACAAGAGTCTAGTAAACATCCGGGTAGGATAAAACTTGAAACACGAAATCATAAATTATAATTTAATAAATAATCATAAAAAATAATAATATAATAATACATTTAATTCAATAATATAATCAAACCAAAAACACTGAAATTTGAAATATAGCGCCAAGTTTGCACATCACTGAGCAAAGTCGTCTGATTTCAGTGTCTGATGATGAATTTCCCACACAAATCATTATCACTCAATTCTGCAAGTGGTTCTGATTTACTATCGCTGTTCTCTATTCGGTCTAAAACCGCTTTTGACCTAAAGGGACGCTTTTTGGATGCCATGGACGTTTCTCAGTTTCCAGGCAATAAGAACAGTAAAAATGAAGGCAGTAGGGACAAAATGTATGAGAAATGGTTTCATACAGTAATGTTATACTATGTGATTTTAGTGAATGTCACTTTTTGTCATTTTCAAATTTCCCGCCAGTTCCATCCCCCGTACGTCCCGACGCTTGCAGGGGACGGAACCCAGATGACAGATGCCGGCATCCGCCGGTTTACATTGCCGGGGACATTGTAGGAAGGACATTGCGGGAGCGCAGGACAAGGTAAGAGAAGAAACAGATCCCAGAGCAACACCGAGCTACACTCGGGAATACCGCCAGGGAGGTTAACATATCTATAGTATGGATCACAATGGATATAAATTCAAAGTTAGTTCAGTTCAGGGAGGTTTCAGCAAACTTTATTAAGGTTCAGACACCAAATCTGCCCCCTGTTGAAGTCAATTGGAGTCCAATCTTAAAAATCAGTGATGGCAATTATTCAGACTAATAGGCAGGGATTTTGGTATAGGGGGCTGGGCACTGTCCTGCTTACATGCACCAAAACTTAAAAAAGTTATAAGTATTCCATTTAACCATGAGCAGCAATTTTAATATGCTTAAAAAGAAAACATGAAGTGGCACAGCTTTATATAGCAAAACTGACATTTTCAAAGAAAACAATGAAGTTTAAATTGCCAGTAAATGACTTTTATTATCCTTGATGAGGGTCTGGTATAGCTTTTAAGAGGGGTCCTGTGCAAACAAATCACTCACCTTTAACGATAGCTCCTGGAGCAGGATTGTTGTTAACAAAGGGGCAGGGTATCCCAAGTGACTTCACTGACCAAATATTGACATGACCAGGATTTCATGCGTTGGCAGGCTTTTTCTTTTGACAGGTCAGTGGGCATTGTTCAGGACTGACATGGATTTGCATCACTGGTGATTGATGTTGAATTTACACTGTGTATTTTTTTTTTTTTTTTACCACTTCAAGTCCGGACGCCTTTACCCCTTTCCAGTCCAGGTCAATTTTCAGCTTTCAGCGCTATCACACTTTGAATGACAATTGCTCAATCATGCAACCCTGTACCTATATGAATTTTTTAGCATTTTTTTGAGACAGATAAAACTTTATTTTGATGGCATTTATTCATCACTGGGATTTTTATTGTTTTTGCTATATAAATGAAAAAGTCCAAAAATGTTTTTTAAAAAGTGTTTTTCTTATAAAATTTTGCAAATAAATAATCTTTCTTCATACATCTTGGCCAAAATGTATTCAGTTATCTTTATAGTAAAAAAAAAAATAGCCCAAATTAGTTTATAACCAAAAATTATAATTTTTCAAAATTATTTTTACATTTTTATTTTATTTTTTTTTATATTATTATTTATGTTTTTATTTTATTTGTTTACATACCATCACCCTACCAGTACCATCACCATAGTGACACTGTACTACTTGTGGGAGGCGATGAAGATTTTAAATTTTTTTTTTTTACACCGATTGCTTTTACACCCATAAAGGCTGTAAAATAAATAATTTCTCCTTCTCTCTGGATGCATTCTTGCAGCCATTGAGAAATACTGTGTGAGCTGTGATTGGTCACAGCTTGTCACATGGTTCAAGGCTGTTGTGAATAGCCTTGTACCATGTGACCTCTGTGATCTTTCACAGATTTCACACGTAGTAAGCAATGATGTCAGAAGTGACATATTGCTTACTACTCTTCATGTGATCACTGATTGGCCAATCAGTGATCACATGATCGGGACATCACACAGAGGTCCCGTACAACAATCTGTGTTCTCCCAGGGAGCGCGCACAAGCAGGGAGTGGGAAGGACATGTATAAACGGCCACCCGCCCCTGCACTGCTCCCGTCCGTCCCATGTATATAAATGTGGTTAATAAAGGACTTGCCAAAAAATAAAAATAAAAGTGTGATAATGTATCATGAAAACATAAAAAAAATATAAATAAATAATTTAGTATAAACTTGGCCAGCTTATAAAGACTATATTGTGTTACTATCAGTGTCTCTGATTGTGATAATGTAATATCTTATCCCTGGTATGAATGGAAAAAAAAAAAAAGAAAAGGGAAGGGAAGTGTTTACACTTAGGAAAATGAAGCATTGATACAGTGTACCTGGACTCAATGTTCAATATGTAGTTGGATGTCTGGAAAAAAAAGAATAATGAGATATTGGATTTTGGATTAAAGAATCAAATCAGAGTGAGTGAAATGAAAAACTGCTTACTAATTCAGTTCCAAGACTATACCCAGCTCCCATCAGCAGCTGGTTAAAGCAGCAGCCAAATGTTCTGACGCCTTGTGTATAAAAACCGGGAAATGTCCCAGTGTCTCACTGAGAATGGACTGGAATTGTGGGAATCTGGTAAGAAGGGGATTATTGGGGAACCTTAAATACAAGGATGAATCGTAACTGGACTAAATCAACTACGGAATGGTACGGCAGGGAGTGTATAAGAAAACTATATGAAGATGAGGGGGCGCATCCTGGTGGAGTGAAACCTAGGGAAAACTTGACAAGGATGATGGGGGAACAGTAACGATGGTGAGTGGTTTAAGAAATGCTGGGAGGATGAGGATGACAGGGTAGCAGTGATGATAGTGAGGGACAGGGGGTTGAGGTGTAGTGAAGGGATTGACTTGTGTCATGGGATGCGATTAATGGGGAGGGTGATGCAATATTACTGTTTGGCAGTGAGAGTGTAATCATGCTTGATAGCTGGGATGCATACTTGTTTGGTAGAATGGAAATAGCTCTTCTGAGTAGTACATAATGCATGGTGTCTGGTGGTGGAATTGAGGGGATCAGACCAGGGACGAACTGACCATTTGGAAACTCGGGCACTGCCTGGGGTCAGTAGGGGGCCCCATGAGATGCCCCTGGTACCTTTTTCATAGACTTTTTTGAGTTTGGGCAAGGACACAGGGGCCCCATGATCCCCTATTGCCTGGGGGCCCCATGAGTTGTCAGTCCGCCCCTGGATCAGACTCTAGTGGGTTGAAAGGGGGTGGGGGAGAATGGCCAATTAAGGAAAAATAGGAAAAGAGAATAGGGGGAGCATGAAAGGTTGAATAGAAGTGGTTGCAAAGGAAAAAATAGAGTGAACAAAGAGAAAGAAGCAGAAGGAGGACTTCACCACATTCACTACACTCTGGGGAAAATTAGTGCAACTGCACTTGCAAAGTGCACAGTCTATTTTGCCTTTAGTAAATCAACCACAAAGGTATAAGGAAAATAAAAAATCTGCATTTTGGCTTGCATATGATTGGATGTTGGAAGTCAGCAGAGCTTCACTGCATTCACTAAGCTCTGGCAAAACTGGGGCAACAACACTTGCAAAGTGCACAATCTACTTGCCTTTATCAATCCAGTAATTATGTTAGAGTTAACTGCCTAGTGAGTGAGCACTTAGCGTTGTACCTAGCTGAAGTGGCAAGCCTCGGCTGATCTGCATGTTATTGGTATTGAGCAGGGGAGGACTGATCATTTGGAAACTCTAGCACTGCCCGACGGCCCGAGGTCAGTAGGGGGCCCCATGAGATGCTTCTGATACCTTTTTCATAGGCTTTTTTGAGTTTGGTCAAGGACACAGGGGCCCCATGATCCCCTATTGCCCAGGGGCCCCATGAGTTATCAGTCCGCCCCTGGTATTGAGTATCCATTGCATGGTCACCAATTCTACTAACACTAGCCAAATGTTTTAAATCTCCTGGTCTTTAATGTAAAGAATAATAAGTACATCAACAGAAGTTTAAACTAAAATGCTGAATTTCTTCATCTAAATTGAACCTTCATTACCTTAACTGTCAGATATAAACATACTTGAAGAACTAGTCAAAATCAGAGATGGTTCTGCAAGTAATAGTGCCACAGGTAATTAATTAATACATTCACATTAGCAAAAATGTGATATTTTATTTGAGAAAACTTTAATTCAAATTATTTGTGGAACACATTTAAAAATACTCAGAAAATGATTCCATCTAATATTAATATATTCAGATTTTTATTTCAATAGAAGTACATTTTAGCATTCTGGGAAAAGTATATGTTTAGATATACTATAGGGTATTCATGAAACACAGACACCGTAATTACATTGTGCATCAAATCTATTTTTTACATAGGAGTATAAAAGGATTAGAACCCCGTCATGTTTTTACTGCTATCTGGGGCTCCATTGGAGAGATTTCACTTCACATCCTATCCTGCTGAAAAAAATGTTTCCAGATAGGACATTATTATTATTATTATTACATCGAGTTTATATAGCGCCAAAGGGTTTGCTCAGCGCTGTACAATAGGGGGGGGACAATACATGGCACAGTACAACAATAACAGACAACGTACGAGGGGTAAGAGGGCCCTACTCTTTCGAGCTTACAATCTAGGAGGGAGGGGGTAGTGGTACAGGAGGAAGTGGCTGAGGGGAATGAGGGGTGGGAGGAAAGAGGGAGAGTGGCCGTTAGGTGAGGGTGGGGTAGGCTTCCCTGAAGAGATGGGTTTTGAGGGAGCGCCTGAATGTGAGGAGGGAAGGCGATAGTCTGATGGATTGGGGCAGTGAGTTCCAGAGGATGGGGGAGGACCTGGAGAAGTCTTGCAGTCATGCATGGGAGGAGGAGACCAGGGAGCAGGATAGAAGGAGGTCCAGTGAGGAGCGAAGGGTACGGGTAGGACGGTACTTGGGGATCAGGTTGGTGAGGTAGTCAGGGGCAGTGTTGTGAACGGCTTTGTAGGTCAGGGATAGAAGTTTAAATTTGATGCGTTGGGCAATCGGGAACCTGTGGAGGGAGAGGCAGGGGGGTGGCAGAGGTGGAGCAGGTGGTGAGGTGGATGAGTCTAGTCGCCTGACATGAGAGGAATACTCAAACAGTAACACAGACAAAAATAAAACTACTTTTTCAAAAAGCCAGAACAGATAAAAGGTTAGAAACCCTGCTAGAATTTTTTTTTTTTTTTTACTGTGTCCCTGTTGCAGATTTTCTCTTACTGTCTATCTGATAAAACTGCTGTCAATGAAACAGAAAGAGAAGGAGGATCTCTCTAAGAGAGCACTGGATAGCAGTAAATGCCAAACAGGGGTTTTAAGCCTTCTCCATGCCACTGAAACTGAATTTTGAATTGACATACACTTTAAAATACACCAGTACTAAAAGAAACATGGAAGTTGCTATTGCTGACCTTCTTGGCCTTTAGTAAATCAATCTCAAAGTACTGCAACCATTTGCTATGGCAGACAACCAGTATTTTTAGAAGGAGTGGGCAGCATTGGCAAACTACATGTTTACTCATTGCAGAGTTTCTTGAAAAATGAAATACTCATCAAAGGATTCCTTTAAAAAATGCAATTAATACATGCCTTCACTTATCTGCACACAAATTATATTGAAAGAATACAAGAATACAGAGTAATGAAAGTGAGGATTTTTTTA